TGATAAGTCCCATGGTCTGGGTCCTGCCCAGTCGGCCGGCCAGTGCTCTGGAACCCAAGTGACTCCATCGGCATGGCTCCCACCAGCACATCAAGGAGTAGTTTCCATCCAATTTCCTGCTCCCTACTTGCATTTCCTAAAGTCCCTGATAATTTTCCAGGTTTCGGGAAAGTAGAAGAGACCACCCCAATCGCCGGCATACATGCTGGAGGGATTGTGATCCAGGGAGGATTGGGGGAAAGGGATAGAGAGAGAATTGCGTATGGCTGCCATCAGAATGAAAACTAAAGTTGGTGGCCAGGAATCCCAACAAGAGTCCCTCTTTTGCAAATAGGCAAGCTAGATCTCAGGTGGCAGAGAACAGGAAAATATTCAGCAAATATTTCAGGTGTCATTTACAAAAAGAGAACTTTCACCTCATGGACCAGCACTTCGGATGTGTTGAAGGAGTTGACCTTGATGTTTTTGAGGAGCAGTGGGTTTCTCTTGTTTTTCCTATGGTGCTGCCACTGCTTCATCCCCACCACGGGTTTCCTCAGTTCATTGGCATGCCATCATATGGTTTGATAGCAGTTGGTATTTCCCTAGATCCTTGCCTATCACCCATTCCCATAGGCAGATGGTGGACTGCCTGTCCTATTTTGCAGCCCCTTAGTTGGATCCATGAATGACAAAAGCACAGGAAGCCCCAGCCTGGGAAAGTTTCCACAGCACAGAAAGTGAAGAGCTGAGACCGTACCCCCAGTTTGCATTCCTATGAAAACCTTCCTAATACGGTTGTCAATTTCCCTGCAACAGGCCCCCTCCCATGCAGATCCCGATGGAGTAGGCTTGTTTGGAAGCCGATGCAGTAAGGGGCTCTGCACGCATTGTTCCAGCAGAACCCGTACCCAGGCATCACCACCAAAGAACGACTGGCCCGAGAGCTAGACATTCCAGAATCCAGGATCCAGGTAGGTTTCAGCTTCACTTGTATTTTACCTGGGGGACAAGTCGTGGACACAAACAGGCCCAAGCCACTGCATGTCAATCTACATGCTCAGCTGGGAGCTAAGAAGCTTTGGCCCCTGTATGTGCATCTCTGTTGAGCTCATGGCCTTGGAAGTCATTCCAAGTCATTCACTCGTGGAACACAAGTACTATTGGTATGCAGGCCTGGGACATTCCAAAAGGTCAACACATCCTCGCTGACTTTCCCTAGAGATAATTTTTCCAGTGTTATTGCATGGACCACACAAAACACACTGAGGCCTAAGGTATGAGGAAAAAAAAAATATATATATATATATATATGTCATGTCCACCAATGTTGCCTGACCTTTGGTTCTTCGTTTGCCAATTAGGTGTGGTTCCAAAACCAGTGCATGAGAAAGCTAAAGCAGAGCTGATTGGGGTCTGCCAAATCCCAAGGGGAAGGGACATCACATGGAGAGGATCAGCCTCCAGCGTGGACTCAAGGTAACTCCCCAGCATACAAAATGGGTCTCTTATTGAGCTTCTCCTTGACACAGGAACGTGTATGCATGGGCTTGCCATGTGTTTGGCAGAAGGCTTAGCAGAGGAACCCATGACCACTGGTTCCAGCCGCCTTTCTATTCCCAGAGTTGAACAATGTGCATGAACTGCCTGTTGGGCAGGTGCATTGTTTCTGGGCAAGGAAGACTTTGAATCTTCTTGTCCTGAAAATGTAGGAAGGACAGAGTCCTCTTCTGGGGTCACCTCAGACTTTAGATCCAAGCACTGGCTTGTGTGCGTGAGTCCATGCTGACCTCAGTGGACTCAGGAAAGGAGAGGCTATAGAGAAAATGGAGAAACATGAGTGAACACACACATACACGCACACACACACACACATGAGTGCACACGGGCACCAATTTCTCTTTCTACACTGGATGGGCCAGTGGCTTCAAAGCCCAACTTCCTAACTCTATTCTCTTTTTGGAACATTTCCCAAAGGAAGGCAGGATGAAACGGACATTCATTTCTCCATCCCAAACCAGTATCCTCCTTCAAGCCTTTGAGAAGAACTGCTTTCCAAGCATTGCTACCAGGGAACACCTGGCCAGACTCACTGGTCTTCAGGAATCCCGCATTCAGGTACATTTTCAGAGTGTGACCTGTGAGTTGTTCAACATGGAAAGGATAGTGGCACCTGAGATGTTGCTGGGGAATCGTGGGCTCCTTTGAGTTATCCACAGGATCCAGTGCCCAGGCAATGAGGGGAATGTGTTGAATTTGCAAGTGAGAGACCGCCCAAGGAAGAATTTCCAAACCAAATGGTGTGTGTGTGTGTGTGGGGGAGTTGGCAGTGTATATGCGTGTAGAAGTAGTGAGCAGACAAAAGAGGGGAAACGGAAACATTGGCACCTATCTGGAAATCACACAAACTGTCAGATCTTGAGCAGCGTAGTAGCACTCTCCATGTGGTCCTCAGGATTTCGTGAGTGTGAGTGGGGTTGCTGTCTTGTGTGTGGCAACGTGTTTGTCAGTGTCCTGGGCCTCAGGACCCCAGGGCAAGAATGGATTCTACCCACAAACCTCACCTTCTCTGGATAACTTAATCATCCAGGATAATTGTCCCAAGGATTATTGGCAGGTGAGTGAGAGTTCCCATGTGCCCTGGTTGAGAAGGCTCTGCAGAGAGTGGTTCCTGGTATAGGAGTTGTGAAACGCCTTTATGGTATATGGAGGCAGACTCTCTGGAAGCCTCTCCTTTGGGACACGACCTGTGACCCTGCCTCAAGCGGGCCTTCATGGGCCAGTACTCTGACAAGTCTTATCTCTGGACACAGGGGAAGCTCAATGTGCTCGTTCCTGAAAACTCTTCTTCCCATATAGCAAATGGAGGAGAGGTACAGCCAAATCTGAATGTGAGTGTTGTTGATGTGGATTCCTGGCTGCCCATGCCTTCCTCTAGACTCATAAGAGATGTGCTCGTAGACTTACCTATCATGTGGATGTGAGGCCAGGTGCGCAAGGTAGGGACTGAAGAGCAAGCAGAGCTGAGTGCCTGCCATTTAAGCCTATCAAAGGGGGATGGACTCCAGGCCAGGTGCCCACAATTTCCCTGGGTGTTCACCTAGTTTCCAAGGGCCAGGTGAAAGTTATGGACAGAGTTCCCCTGAGATTCAGAACAAGTGTCCTGGCCTTCTCCGCGAGTGATCCCAGGTGGGGGTAGGGGGAAAGAGAGCTGCCATCTATCCCTTCTTCTCATGTCCACGACATCTCTGCTCTATCCCAGGTCTGGCTCCAGAACAGAAGAGATCGGCACACAGGGCAGAGCAGAAATGGCCCCATGAAGGACCTGGAAGCACACCCCAAACCCAGTCCTTGTGTGACAGTCCCAGGGAACCAGGCCACCTGGCCAGTGTCTCTGTAAGCTCTCCTCAACTGGCTCTGTCCAAACCTCTGGGAAGCATGCAGACCCTTGCTGCAGGGACAACTCCCATTCCCTGCATGGGCTTTGCCCCTCCAGTTCTCTGTGGCGGCCTTGGGAGCCAGGCCCTGGGGGCCACGATGGTCCTGCCCAACCAAGGTGGGAGGATACAACTTTCTTGCTGCTGAAGGCCTGAGGAGCCATTCCCTGACGGGACCAACTCTGGGAGGGTTTCTCTCCATTCCACATGCTCTTCTTTGCCCCCCGTCCCAAGGGGAACACCAGCAGCAACATAGGTACCCTGGCATGGCACCCCTGCCCTTCCATATCTACCCCAGCGTCTGGCTGACAATCTTTGCCAAGGTTTGAAGGAGGCAGGGCAACCCGGGTGCAACCGCACTGCACAGTGATGGGGCGAGGGGTCCCAGCTTGTCATCGGCACAGGACAGGCTCAGGATGGGGCAGTTCTGCAGCCTGCACATGCTGAGACCCCTGGCTGGCAGCAGTAGGCACATTCTACTTCAGGGCTGTCTGTTGCACTCAACCCACAGCACCAACCCTCTGCAGAAGCCTCAAGATTTTTAGAGGAACTTTTCTCAGCTGCGGAGATGGAAGAAGACACACACTCTTTTCTCAGTGGGCGTTTGCCACAAGAGGACGCTCCGGGACCCCTGGAAGCACCCCTCAACAAGGAGGAGTTTCACGCCCTATTGGCTATGCTGCATGACTCCACATGGCCTCAGGCCTAGGAGCAGGGAGGCCTCATCCTTCCCACCCCACACTCATACAGATCCTTCCTGAGATGCAGTCCCAGCGGGTCAGCAAGGAGGCGAAACAGGCAGCATTGTGCATGTTCTGGAGGAAGAACGATGCCCAAAGCAGCACCTGTCACTTGGAAAGACAGAAGAAGGATGTCCTTTCTACCCTGTGGACAGGCCTCCATTGCTTTCCCAATGAGCACCAAGCTCCACAAAGCCTCTGAAGGAACCAAGGGCAGCAGGCAATGGGCACCCTCCCTGACATCTGATTGATCCAAAGCACTGTCAGGACACACACGTGACCTCCTCCCTGTCATCACCCTTTCCTCTGTAGACTGGGAAACTCTGGCCCTGGCAGCCAAACCAAGCAAGGAGGAGAGGTCGAAGAAGGACACCTCCACGTTTCTTTTCCTCCTGCCCAGTCAGAAAGTCCCACCTCCAGGAGCTGAACGTGTAGACCAAGACAGGACATGACACATCTTGACCGTGGGAGCCCAGGGTCACGAATCCATCCTGGCTGGGATAGGCTGGGAACCAGCGAAATGGAAATGACTGCAGTCTCCCATCTCTGAGTGATCCTGTCCCAGCCAACGTCTGGAATGCCCTGAGGCCTTTGCCTGGCATCTTTGCCCCAGGGAAGCCTTTCCAAAGAACACAAAAAGGCAGCAGGAAGGGCCACAGCCACTCTCAGCAGGCGTTCTAGAAAGGGTATCGCTGTGGCTCATTCCTAAAACTTAGCATTTGTTTTCTCTTTTGTTGGTATGTATCGGCATGCCTCTCTACCCACAGTGTGCCTGCACTTCTCAGGAAGAAAGAAGATGTTCCCAGTCAGCCTCTTGGTGGCCTTCTGTCAGCAGGGTCACCTCTCTGCCTTGCAAGGGCTAACTTGGAGGAATTCCATACTGGAAACACAAGCTTGAGGGGACAATCCATTGGTCCAATAAACCCATTTTTGCCTCCGCAATGTGATCTCCTGGTTGTGATTTGTTCCATTTCCCTCCTGTCCTCTCATGCCTGCCAATCTTCAGAGATGTGAGATGCTTCCTGGCCCTGGGACTGCGGAAGCCATTGGTATGCCCAAGTCCAGTTCACAGCTTTGGGCACAGACAACCTCATGGGGCAGCACTAACACTGCCTGGCGGTCATCAAGCTTTGCCTGGATTGACGGTGCTTGAAGGGCAAGCATTCCTCCAAGGGATGTAATTTGAACCCAAGTGGCAAAAAGTCCATGCACACCCTATTTGTCCCCAGTGTTCTCAGCAGTGGCCAAATTCATACCTAAGGCTCATCCTACTATGATGGCAATGAATCTCCCTCCCTCCCTTGCTCTTTGCCCCCCCACCTCTCCTTGTCTCTATTTCTTCAGATCTCTGTCTCTCCGTGTCTATCTCTCCCACATTATCACACTTTCTCTCACAAGTGGACACACACCGATGTCCACACTGTCAGAGCATCATGCTTATGCAACTCAGAGTATGGTCAAAACATTTGGAAGAATAAGGTGGGCATTGGCGGGTTTTTTTCCTTGGGGTTTTAATCTGCCCCTACCTATTTGCCACATGCCCTGGGAGAGAAGCGATTGTAGATTTGGTCATTTGAGAGCCACCCTGTAGAAAACACATCTCTGTTCCAAGGGGGAAGGAACCAGAGAATTCCTATCTTGGTTGCTTCTATCCAAATAGATCTCTATCTCTATCCACATTCACACATGCACAAATATATCTGTATCTCCATGTCTCCATGCGTCCAGACCCATGGGTGGATCGTGTTTATCTCTCCATAGATATAGCTTGTTGTAGAAGCCCTCCACATCTCTCTT